GTGAAAAGGGTGTTAAATGAAGACTTAGGGCTTCGGGCATATCGAAAAAAAACAGGACATCGTTTGAATGCTCGTCTAATGGACCTGAGACTGAAGAGATGCCGCGCTTTGTTGAAGCGGTACGCGGGAAAAAAATATCGGGAAATTCTTTTTTCGGATGAAAAAATTTTTACCGTAGAAGAGAGCTACAACAAACAAAATGATAAGGTGTACGCACACAGTAGTGAAGAAGCGAGCAACCGTATTCCGCGTGTCCAACGAGGTCATTTTCCATCCTCGCTCATGGTATGGTTGGGAGTTTCTTATTGGGGCTTAACAGAGGTACATTTTTGTGAGAAAGGTGTAAAAACGAATGCAGTTGTGTATCAAAATACAGTCCTGACGAACCTTGTGGAACCTGTTTCTCATACCATGTTCAATAACAGGCACTGGGTATTCCAACAAGATTCGGCGCCAGCTCATAGAGCGAAGAGCACACAAGACTGGCTGGCGGCGCGTGAAATCGACTTCATCCGGCACGAAGACTGGCCCTCCTCCAGTCCAGATTTGAATCCGTTAGATTACAAGATATGGCAACACTTGGAGGAAAAGGCGTGCTCAAAGCCTCATCCCAATTTGGAGTCACTCAAGACATCCTTGATTAAGGCAGCCGCCGATATTGACATGGACCTCGTTCGTGCTGCGATAGACGACTGGCCGCGCAGATTGAAGGCTTGTATTCAAAATCACGGAGGTCATTTTGAATAAACTTTAGTGTCATAAGAATCTATGTTTTGTTAAGTTCATTTTGGTATATGAATGGTTACATAATGAATAAACTTGTTTCAATTATTTTACATTAAACATGTGACAGAATTTATGACCTGACTAGGTATACTAATAACTAATAATACTAATAAGTAATGTACTAGGTAGACAAGTACAAAAAGAGTTTACGGGGCACAGCATTTGATCTTGAATGCTGTCTTAAGAAATATGGACCGCAAGCGATTAGTTACAATAAGATTCAAATACACGCATGCCAGTATTTAATTATTAATTATCTATCACTGATTTTGTGGCTCGCGATAGGTTCTCATGACAGTCCTTTGATATTTAGCTACGAACTATACGCGATAAACAGTTTAGATTAAATAATTATTTCCTCTCAATGAAACGAAACCCTTGGAGCATAGTCGAATCCGCAACAGATGTTATGACAGCTTAGCTCGTTAAGGTCCTTACCTGCCTGTCGCTATGACGACCTCCACTTCGACTTCGACTATCGAATCGGAGATATCAAACATTCTCCATTCTACAGTGTAACAACTTGAAGTAATATTAAGTTCGCTTTCTCAACTTCTGAAATTAACAGCCAAAGAATAAAATCTATATATATAAAAATGAATTGCTGTTCGTTAGTCTCGCTAAAACTCGAGAACGGCTGGACCGATTTGGCTAATTTTGGTCTTGAATTATTTGTGGAAGTCCAGAGAAGGTTTTAAAGGTAGATAAATATGAAAATTAAATAAAAATAACAAATTTGGTTTTTCCTTTTTATTTATCGATTGAGGCATTACGAAGTCTGCCGGGTCAGCTAGTAAAAAATAAATATTTTGGTTACCTCGTTATCTCTTAATATTTTCTTACTGAATTGAAATGTACATGGGATACTTTTGAAACTTTCAGTAGGTATTATAGGTATTATTTGCGTTTAGTTTCTTGGGCGATACACATCATGAAAGCAATATATGTGATATAATCTTAGGATAAAACGATCCATGTTTTTGACATGATTATGAGTAAAGGCCTCATGATGTGCCGTTGGACACCATAACGTGAATGTCTCCACTCACTATGTCTTAATTACGCAAAGTAGAATTTAGATATGTTTTTATTTGTGTTGCAATTTCAAAATCATTCCTGCATTGTAGATGTAATTCGTGAACATGAACTGAATATGTCCATATTTCATTAGAAAATTTAGTACCGGCCCTGCGGGATTTGAACACCGGCTCAGTCGCTTCGCTCGGATCCGACTCAAGCTTCTTAACCTTTAGGCCACGGGAATTCAACAGAACTAGGCCATAGAACATTCGCAGTAAGAGTTATATGCGCACTACAATCGCGATACTTACTAGTGGTAAGTTGGTTTATGAGCCCGCGAGGTTAAGTACAGCCGTCCTCTATATTTCTGCTACTAAAAATCAAAGAATCTGATTTATAGGGTGAGACAGCCGTTATATAGTAATACTAAGAAATCAACTACACGCCTCAAGAAGGGTGAAAGCAATCACGTTGCGATATCTATCACACACAGGAACAATTTGTAAGCTTAGCTATCTAGACAATGTATACTGTCTCTAAATGTTAGCGTGTACATTTAAAATACAGTTCTATTGGCGAATTTAATCGCGTTGCTGAACAAAAAAACGAAAAACTAATCTTTCAATCTCTGAATATATGAATATTCACTTTGAGTGGTGGGATGTCCATTTTTCAATTGCAATCGGAATCTCAACCTTATATATTAAGACAGAACTCATTTAATCGCTCCGCTCGTCACACGATCTCTTCGACACAGTTTATTAATATTTTTAGAAAAGCACTATAATTATGGAAGCCTCAGACAAATGCTCAGCAAAGTTATCGAATAATCTAACAATCCGTCTAATGCTCTAGTTTTATTCCTAGACAAGGGCTTAATGACGGAATCGGGCTTAAATTTTATCAGCTTTCAAGTCTCATTTCATGTCCTAATTTATTTGGAACATAATCAATATATCGATGAACTAGATTGTAATTTTTTTTTTAAATAAAACACAAAGAGTTAATTATTCATTTATTTCCATAAATAAGCAGCAATGGTCCGCAGAATATAATTTTTGGACAAGGTTTTGGACAAGCTGATCAGTATTAAATAAAACACTTCTTACAACAAAACTAATGTACGTATAAATGATATTTTTTATAAACCGCTAAACGGTTGTTAAGAACATTGGATAATTTAATAAATTATATAACATTATTTTTGGAATAAGTCGTATTCATTCGCAGTTTCAATATCCTTTATTCGATATTCACCAGAATATTTTCAGTGAAGCGTTTGTAATAAAAGGATGAGGCATGTTGGGAGCTCGCGTGGGCTGAGCGGTCCTGAACATTTCCGTCGCGAAGCAATAATTAATTCTGTTTTGAAGAATAAGATATTCCGATGTAATACAAGCTTCAACCTCAAATATGAGGTGGGTAGCATTGATTACAATTTGTTCTAGAAACATAACAACAGGCCATAAGTGCGCCTGTCCATATATAGCCATAAAAAGTAACTCCATATTAGCGCTTTTAACGATTTTGCAGATTACCGTCGATATTGCTTCCATCGCAGGCTGTCTGGAAAGGACCTCTTCTAGCGATAAAACTTTAGGACTCTTGTTTTTTTGTTTAGATTACATAATATCCAGCAATATCCTGATATAAAACGAACAATATCAACTGGTAAGTATTTACGAATTAACATGCACAAACTAATAATCATATTTAGTATATTTTTTGTTGCTTAATTGCGTAGATGGTTTAATGTTAACAGATTACCATAACCCATAGACAAAATAAGGTTACTTTCCGGCACCATCCTAAAGAAATGAGTTTCGGTTGCAGTAGAATCACATTTTTAGCCTTTGCTACAAATCGGTGCGCAAGATTGCTTTGTGACCGAAATAGGAATAATACAGCTTATACTTCACTCATAGGTTACTACGAAAGTTATTTTATAAATTATTTTTCAAAACTCATGAAAGCATAATTAAAAAAAAACAAGATTTTCTTTCAAAATAAAAAATCGCTTCACTTAAAAACGATTTATATTATGATGATCATTAATCAGAAATAAATCGTCCAAAGCACTATAAATAAATAATTTTGATTTCGAGTTTATGTTTATTTTATTTACAATATTTTTCAACGTAGCCTAAGTTAATTTAATTGATCGCCACAATATTTTCAGTACTAAAAGCACAGCTACAATTATCTATTAAATATACAGGCTTCACTCGCGGCTCAGTCTGTACTTTATTAATACTTTCGTTTCACACTTCATATCAGTAGTTCAATAACAATTTTAAAACTAATTTCCGTTCTGTATTTATCTACTCTTTGAAAATCTAAACGATATGTAACTTCATTTTAGCTTAATATTTTAACCTAGATTAAAAAATAAATAATTCTACTTGATCTATAACAACAGTATTAAAATAACATTTATCTTAATTAAAATAAATATGTTCCTAAGAATTAGACATTGCTCTATGTTACTAAATATAAGTAAATACACATAGAAGACATTTAAATATTAATTGAAATAGTTCACGAAAACCACAAGTCATTTTAGTAGACAAATATGTATTTCGAAGTCGACATCTGGTGCATTCGTGTTGAGCGATGCACCGGTGTTCGAATGCCGCAGGCGGGTACCAATTTTTCTAATAAAATACGTACTCAACAAACGTTCACAATTGACTTCAACGGTGAAGGAATATTATTGTGTAATAAAAATCAAACCCGAAAAATTAAAATTTGCGTAATTACTGGTGGTAGGACCTCTTGTGAGTCCGTGCGGATAGGTACCACCACCCTGCCAATTTCTGCCGTGAAGCAGTAATGGGTTTCGGTTTGAAGGGTAGGGCAACCATTGTAACGATACTGAGACCTTAGAACTTATATCTCAAGGTGGATGGCGCATTAACTTTATAGATGTCTATGGGCTCCAGTAACCACTTAACACCAAGGGGGCTGTGAGCTCGTCCACCCATCTAAGCAATAAAAAACGAACACAAATAAAGAAATAAAGCATATTATTATTGTATGCAAAAAAATATTGTATTAAGTATGTCCGTAAAATATTCCGATACATCATAGGCTATGCAAAAGTATATTACGACAAATATGGATCACGTCTATCCTTTCACGAAGTATTACGAGTTATGTACTATCAGCCTCTAAACGATATTCTTTCTGTGATCATTTTCTGCTAGTGCAGTGCTATGGCATATTTATTTGATAATATTTTGTCTAATCATCAGAAAAATATCACCCAAAACATATAAATATTATGTTAATTAAAATTAATAATGAAAACAAAAATTGATTACTGAAACGCTTCTGAAGTACTGCTCTGTTGTAATCTTGTAACCTAAAATCTGAAAGAATTTCACTAATTAGGTTACGAACATTTTTTTGTTAGGAATGCGAGAATGAGAGCGATAGTCTTCTTTATTTATTTATTTTTGTGAAATTTGAATAACAAAACTTAAGAAATTATGAAAGTAATCTATATATGAATAGAAAATACTAAAGAAACATTGACGTTCCCAAAATTAGTCTCATCAGTTGTTATCTGTTTATATTTAAAGCAAACACCACACTATGATCAAACTGAATCGCGGCATCATATTTAAACACATGTGAATACACGGTTTAATCGTAGCATTATTATGATCTCTTGGCTTAGCTCAACAATGCAGTACTCACCCTGGGTTCCAAAAGGAGTGCTTTCGGAAGATTTATCTGGTGCCACGATGTTTAATCTCTGAACCACTGTCAAAATCAAATGAATTACAACATGAATAAAATATCCACATTTAACGGCTCAGAGCTATAATATCATGCTGCTGACGCCGAGAACACGCAAGATACAGGGACAAATACATCCACAATTATATAAATACATAATTTCTTTTACAAAGATACTGACTAGTGCCCAGGAACTTTGTAGTATAATAAACAGTATCTCCTATATATATATATATATATATAAATGAATTGCTGTTCGTTAGTCTCGTTAAAACTCGAGAACGGCTGGACCGATTTGGCTAATTTTGGTCTTGAATTATTTTTCGAAGTCCAAAGAAGGTTTAAAAGGTAGAGAAATATGAAAATGCTCGGAATTAAATAAAAATAACAATTTTGTTTTTCCTTTGATATGTCCCCCGTCGGACGGATTTCTTTTGTTTGTTTTAAGTTTATTTTATACAAAAGTTTAGGTCTTTTATTTATCGATTGAGGCACTACGAAGTCTGCTGGGTCAGCTAGTATTGAAATAAAAGTCTATCAATCATCAAACAGGTATGGCATGACGGAAATTAATAAAACTCACCATTTCTGTTTTCCATCGCTGGCAAGGGCATAGCTGTTAAACACAAAAACAAAAAACATTTAATACGAGGTTCAGTGACGTGTACAGATGCAGTTCGTTTGTCATTTATGTGTTAAATATTAAGTGTGTTATTTATGTACATCACACAGCCTGGCGCTAACACACTGTAGTAGTATTAACGATAGTTTTATTATGAGAGCTTAAGATCAACTACAATGGGTAACTCGCATTAGTTGCGGAGAACATATAAGCTTATTAGCAGTACGCATGTACATAAACCTCTTTATTTATGTTTCGTTATTGTTTAAAAAAAGAATCGTACAACACTGTTGATTTGAAATAAGCCTTATACCATATGTACACGTCAAAGTGGACGTTGTTTTAACTTGGTTGGTATGGCTTGCTGTATGAGTAAGCACAGCAAGCCCTACCAGCACACATCGTGCTGCTTATTTCTGCGACCAAGCAGTCTTCCACTTAAAGGGTGTCAATATGTTTATTCAGTGTAAACGACCCTTCGACTTAATACCCCCACAAGGGTGGCGGCATTCACATTGTGATGCCTGTGAGCTCTGGTAAGCACTTAATCCGAAGTCGGTCACTAGGCAATTACTGAGCCTTAACCTTTCTGCCGATCTAGAGAAACAGAAAGTTATTTACTCTCTATGTTACACAGATTTATTTTTATTAAAAAAGATTTTCTTTTACATTACAAAACAATATGTACAATCGGTGAGCTTCTTTAATGAGTTTTCTTACAGCAAACACACGGACATGAGACAGAGAAGTAACGTACACAATAAAGATATTAGGAAAATATTGATACTCGTTAATTTCACTTAGTTAATTCACTCGTAATACTAGATAGATAATACATATATAAAAAAATCTAACGACGTCCCGCTGATCTCATGAAGAGCGCGCAAAATAACTACATTTTCGGAACCACAGTCAGTTCACTAGGTTCAATTAATTAGTAGCATTTGCACAACATATTCTTGACCACTAAGGAAATTTTATAATTAAAAAAGAACACGAAACAATATGAGAAAATGTATCGCGGTAATTGGGCTACGTAACATGGAAGGTCACATGTATACTGTCAAAAAAATAGTACACAAAATAAGCCCATTAAGCTAAGGATTAGTAAAACACGGCTGGCTATTAGCATATCACCTAATACCTAAATAAGTGACCGTAACATTAATTTCGATTTCCCATACATAATATTCGACTTAATTTTACACGAGTCGAATATGTTTACAGCATACAACAATATTTCATGAGAAACTTCATGCCTCGAGTGTTACTGTAAATAAAATATGTAGGCGTCATCCTTTCTATTTCTAAACTTTAGCATATATAATAAACTTTTTCTGAGTTTTTATACTACTTAATACGTACGTAATTTTAGTTGAAAATGTTTTACTCGTAGATACTTACGATATACATATATATAGTTTGGACGTATACAGTTCAATTCTTATTAATTTATTTCACTTTTTTTTTTCCCTATCTAAGCTGATAACCTTGAGAGGCTATTTCAGCGTAACCATGGCTAGTAGGTGAGCTCACGGGGCTCAAACCTGACGACGATGCTAACACGAACCCTAGCAAGAGCCGTGCTTCGCAGAATCTACCACCGGATTGGAAACGCGACCCACTGAGAAGATCCGGCGAGAAACTCAGTGGGCTGTGTCTGAGAGTTAATTTACTCGTCGAGCCCTTCGTCGCAAGCGACGGGTTGGACGAGAACGGTGACTGGTTATTTCACGAGTAAGAATGCTATACTATCAAAAATAGTTCACCACGTAACACATCATTAGTAATCGACGTTAGTATTACCGGCACAAACAATAATATGAAAATATCAAAAACCTCATCAACTATTGAGAACAAAAATAATGGGTGATATAACTCACGGTATAACTTGATAGTCCCCTCGGTGTCTCCCATAGAATTTTTAGAGACACATTTGTATGTTCCGTAATCGGATGTAGTCACCCTTCGTATAGCGAGCCGGAGCACGGATCGATAGGCTCCATCGATCTTCTGCGGCTCTAGACCACCACCTAGACCAGACATCCGAATTGATACCATTTGACGATAATCAACGATAAACTCACATTAACAACGACATCTTTGCAAGTTTATTATTGCGTAAATGGTTTTATTGCTTATGTAGGAACGAGCTCACAGCCCAACTGGTAAATATGTGATTACTCGCGCCCAAAGCCTCTATTGCCTTTGTAGGTAAAACGAGCGTACGGCGCACCTGACGGTGAGTGGTTACCGTCGCTCATAAACGTCAGCAATGCCAGATTATAACATAAACGCCGCTCCACTCCCCATTAGATATGAGGTTGAGAAGTCACAATTGTATTATAGTACAATGGTTAACCCATCTTTTAATGCAGAACGGATTGATTTCTTCACGGCAGTAATATGTAGGATGGTAGGCTTTTAATACGTCAGTAATTTAAATATTAAACAATCATCAAATTGCTTTAAAATTCAATCTCTTTTAATATGTAAGAACGATAACAATATTGACAGAACACAATTGAAAACATTTTAAACTTAAATTTTAAAAGACAACTTTACAATGCAAAGGAACGTAACCAAAAAGCTAACTCATAATGAAGCTTCGTAACTAATAATGAAACAATGAAACTAAACAAAGATGTTCTAATTTAATTCCAACAATAGAACATTATTACAACGCCGAGAGTAAAACTGATGCGATTACATCCACTACAGTTATTTTATAACTCGTTAGCGATTATTATTTACTACAGTTTACCTACAGAATATGATGGAAATAATATAATTACCATAATAATAAACGTGATATTATAAATAAATAATATTTACTAACAATCACGCCACGTTAACTGGTCCCGTGATAAGTTCGTAAAGAACTTGTGTTACAGGTACCAGATAACGGAAATAAATGTAATATTTTTATTATACACATACATATATTTAATATACATCCATAACCCTGGAAAAGACATTTATATTTATCATACAAATATCTTACCTTGGCGGGATTCGAACCCGCGACCCCCTTGTGTAGTGACCATGTCACTTACCATTACACCAGACGGCCGTTAAATAAATTAAATATTAAATAATATATTAATTATATATAATAATTAATAATATATTAAAGTGTATAAGTATATCGTTCTATATAAATGAGATTTTATTAGTTTTCCATTCCATAATATCTTTGATTTATTTGTATTTGATCATTGCAATTTCATTGCGCGCTATCTTTACGTAAAAATTTAAGAACGTTTAAAAATTTATAAAAAATCATATACGTTTTCTTACCAACAGGAACTATTTCACCCGTTTCTCTGCTCCAATAGCTAACGGGCTTGGGGTACGCTTCAGTTTCACACTCCAACACCAAATCGGTGCCGAGACCAGCGCCCACTAATTGATTTCTAATTGTAATCACTGGTGGAACTGTTAACAAGTAATCTTGTGAATACACATACAATATCCGTTTCTCAGAAATAGCTTACACAACTATATTTTTTTTCACACAACTTCAAAGACTCCAATTAATTTTACAACTCAAATTAGACAAAGACCCTTGTTTTTGTTTATAAAATATTTTAATGTATTCTCATATAGGTTTTAAAATAAAAATATCGTACGAAAACTTTTGCTATCTTTTAAAAGCAAAAAAAAAAGATGTATAAATAGAAATGTATTGATGATGTCTTATACTTACATTCAACGGTAAGCATTATCCTTTTGCTCACAGTGGGAGGAACGCCATTTGAGGCTATGCATAAATAAGCACCCGCGTGCTGTCTGTTCACTCGGCTTATATTTAACACCGGTCCTTCCAATGACGTCACTAAACCACAAATTAGGATAAGTTCAATAATTCGCTATAAATAGTGACAATGTCAGACGTGAACAAGCGTGGGCTCATGATCGGGATGTGGGATCAAAAATCTAGTTGTTCTTTGAGGATGGGTAAAGAACGCATCGTTCAGAGTGCGCCAAGAATCATTTTGTAAGTTCTTTTTTATTAAATAGTGTGTGCGGGTATTAGCAAATCACCAGGATAGTTAATCTTCTTCCTATTGCATTCTGGGCAATCCGGCCGTCGGCATATCATCAACTACAATAAGGTTATAGGAATTTTACATTTGTCGCTGGTTAGATTAGTATAGAGTATGCTTTATTGTACACCAAAATAAACACAAATGCATAACGTTAAATACAAAAGTACAACGGGTGGTCTTATCGCTAAAAGATCTCTTGCAGTAAACAAGAATTATTTCAGGAAAGAAATCAGCTGTACTTATTGATTGAAAAAAGAATAACATAAATACAAGTAATATCAATAATAAAAATAATATGACTCCTCGTCTCATAAAAATTAATAAACAATTTGTATAAAAATATGTCATTTTACAAAAATACCTAAGCAATATAAATAAAATATTTTATATATGCTAATAAGACATTTTATCTTAACACAAATTAGGCAGATTGACTGTATTGAATTGTATAAATAATACTCATAAATCAGTCGTTTGAACAAATTTAGTTTTTCAGCATGTCGTATCAGTAACGGGACTGCATTCCACAAACGTTATCAACCAAACAGGAGTGTACTCTTTAAGCGATTTTAGATTCTGTGTTTAATTCCTACCTTTATCCTGTTTTTTTTTTCTACCTAAGCTGAGAGCCTGGAGAGGCTATTTCAGCGTAACCTTAACTAGTAGGTGAGCTCACGGGACTCAAACCGGAGTGATGCTAACACTGTCCCGCTAAAATACTTTACCTTTTATCCCGTCTGAAATGCTTATGGATTTTGAGTGTTCTCTTCGCCACGTGATTTGGGGATGCGGTGATCCAGTCGCGGCGCATGTCAGACTTACAGAGGCGCCTTCTCTAACAGTCTGGTCGGTACTCGTTCCACGATCGAGTATATCCGGAGGTACTAATGGAAACGAAAATAGCTCATGAAAACGTTCTAATCAAATGTCCGCTTTGAATAAAAAGTTCATTAATTTATTAACGTTCACGTTTAGTGCCTTCATTTTCGTGAACGAAGTAGTCATTTGTGGGTTGCAGTTCGATTGTACCGATATTTATAATATCTGACAGGTTAACCTTGGAATTTTTTTTTGGAAAAATAAAAAGAACGAACTCCTTTTGTCTATGTCTGTTACCAGAAAAGAGGTCGTTTCTACTACTTGGAATCGCTAGGCTGACCTAAAAAAATCACGTGCTTCTTTGGAATCTAGAATGAAATATGTCTTTTTTTATTGCTTAGATTGCTTAGATGGGTGGACGAGCTCACAGCCCACCTGGTGTTAAGTAGTTACTGGAGCCCATAACGTAAATGCGCCACCCACCTTGAGATAAGTTTCAGAGCTCCACCCTTCAAACCGAAACGCTTTATGCTTCACGGCAGAAATAGGCAGGATGGTGGTACCTACCCTCGCGGACCCACAAGAGGTCCTACCACCAGTAAAAGTCTGAAATGAATTTCCTTCCACGTTTTTTCCTTAGCGCTATACATGTTCTTCTTCAAACGTCAAAGTAATTTTAAGCCTTTAAAATCACTTTTCAACGGTGGCATTGCTAATATTCAACACTAACTACTAACTATCAGGTAGCTTTTTGCTCTTTTACATTCGTGAACAATAAAAAAACTAACCGTATTTCTTTTTATAAATTTATCTTCTTAAACCGACTGAATTACTTATCAGAAAAGAATACGTACATATCGACGCTTGAAAGGCAAACGTGACTAAGCAACACTTTACAGTAGACTAATTTAAAGTTGAAATACCTGAAAAAAAGTATATTTTAACGAACCTAGCTGTAGGATTGAAATGATTTTAATAGACCTAGAAATATATATTTTCTGCGCATCGAATATGGTTATTACCTATCATTTATGTACAAAGCAGTTATTGTCGCTTAGACACGTTTGCCTTTGAAGCGTCGATATATTAATCGGGACTCAATTCGTACTTAGATGTATCAAACTTGCTATCATACTATTATAACGCACGTGCAGCTTACCGACAACATCTAAATAGCCAAGCTGACTTTTCATAGGATCCGTGTTGATTTGACACATGTACCATCCTCTGTCGGTCTCTCTCAGCTCCCTGATATGCAGAAACCAAGTTCTCTGGTCACTGTGTGTTACCCCTACCCTTCTGCTCCGAGATATGACGTGCGTGTGGATTGTCAGAATGGTCTGCGTGTCCACCCTCAACCACGCAACCTGTCGCCAAAAGTTTATTACCGAGAATGATCTAAAGCGTAATTACAACGGTATCGTGAGTTACTGGTATATTACTTTAAAGACTCCACATTAGTTTTTAATCTTCAAAACTACATAACGTTTTTATTCGCACCAGAACAATAATTAAGCGTTCAAAAAGTATTAAAAAAAGTTTTATGAATTTGCGATTGTTCTATTCTCACTGGTACTGTCTTTTGTTTCTTTTTTTTTTTAACAAATATGTACACGAACGACTGCTAAGGTCAATGTCGTCAAATAAATTAACGCAAATTTATAAAACTCCGATACTGTATTACTGTATTTGTAATTACTGGTGATTTTAGTCCCGTTTGGTTTGATCGTTCTATTTCTATCACTAAACAGTGCTATTTCTATCACTAACGTGCTCCAATTTAATGAATATGTTGGAGTTACTTTAGTGTAATTTAGACTTAAACCTCATGTATCAAACTAAGCAGTGCCATTCGTCTTGTTATGTCTACGGGCTAGCAAAGAAACAAAAACAATGTATAGAAATACTAAACAACATCACTAGTAATAATCCTGACATACAATTTTTAACACATCCGCTATGATATCAACAAGAATACAAAATCAATGAAATCATATTTTACTTCTATTGTATTTAAAAACAGAAATAATGAAACACATTTTATGAGACTCAGTTTTCTATAGATTTCTATCTAGTTTAAATTTTAAAATACAATTATTATTGAAATTTTCATAACTATTTCTTGTAATTTGTCGCATATTTAAAGGATGAAAGTAGTTTTAAATTAAATTAATTCTATAATCATCAGGAAGACATAGAAATTTTTCGGAAGATATATATTTGAATAGCTTCTACTTTAGATTCTATTCGAGTCTATATAGTTAAAACGTAGAAAAACAAACATACTGTATTATAAAAAATATATACCATAAAATATGATCTTTGTATGTAGTAACAGTAAAATCGCGAGGAGTTACTAGTATTCCATAAAAACTCATGGCTACAATATGGCGTTGTTAAACAACATATTAGTACATATGCGTGATTTTGAACGTAACTTGATTATGTCTATTCGTGAACAAAACGACTAACCTGACCTTTGATGGAGTTATGATACATAAATAGCAGTTTCAAGGGCGAAACTAGTACAAGTATTGTTTTATAATAAATCAAGGTAACAATAATAACTTTATTTAGCTTAATCAGTAATTTTCTACATGTTATAATTTATTAACATAGATATTTTACAGAAATAATAAATAAACCGGTTATGTACTTCTACCAATAAAGCTCTATAACATGACCCCCTTTAAGGAGCTTAGAAAAGAGTCCTAAATAGTAGGCTCAGTTACGCACCTGGTTTTGCTGATATTTGTTCATGAGCACCGATGACCGCTCACCATTTTGGAGTGGGCCATTTTTTATTTATTGCATTACTTGTTAACTATTAATAAAGGCTGTTTCATGCAACAAGTCACAATGCATTATTGCTCCACGGCCGAAATAGGTAGGCCGGTAGCACCTACTCGTGCGAATACAATACAAGTAATACGCCCTAGTTCTGACAATTAAGCATACATACATAAGCATAGGTACGTATTTTATTTTAAAAATTGGTAGGATTCTGCGTGATTTGGGCACCGCCTTAATCGCATCGCTCGATATGAATTCACCAGGTGTCTTATCCTATATGCCACGGCGATTTAATACTGTAGATTGGTATCATCTACGCCGTTGAAAAAAAATTTTTTTTTATTGCTTAGATGGGTGGACTAGCTCACAGCTCATCTGGCGTTAAGTGGTTATTGGAGCCCATGGACATCTACAACGTGAATGCGCCACCCACCTTGAGATATAAGTTCTAAGATCTCAGTATAGTTACAACGGCTGCCCCACCCTTCAAACAGAAACGTATTAGGTACTGCTTCACGGCAGAAATAGGCAGGGCGGTGGCACCTGCCCGCGCGGACTCACAAGAGGTCCTACCACCAGAAAATGTGGATGCAACGTGAAAAAATGGTCAAACAGTCTATTTTAAGGCCGTACACCCGGATTTCTGAATAAGCTGACCAAATGTGATTATTATCATGTAGGATCTATATCAATGTCGTCTAGGTTCAGATTCAGGACCAGGTTATATATTTTGTTACATCAAAACTTACAAAAAACAAAACGTTTATGATGTAAGCTTTTTTAATATTAATACTAAAAGTAGCTTCATAGGAGCCGAAGACAAATTGTACGCAGTATAATATAATATGATTCGAAAATTTTTGTTTTCAAGTTTTTCAATTAACGGGAATTTCTAAAAACAGTTAAGGGACATGACCTATAATTACCACTTACACAACCAACAAAGCCAAACAAATGACTTTTTCCTAAAACGGAAGTGCAGGCCACGTGAAGAGCGCCACGAATTTTTAGACACGAGAGCGAAGTTGTAACTGTGTCAGAGTATCTATACTAATATTATAAAGCTGAAGAGTTTGTTTGTTTGAACGCGCTAATCTCAGGAACCATTGGTCCGATTTGAAAAATTCTTCCAGTTTTAGATAGCCTATTTATCGAGGAAGGCTATAGGTTATACCTATATAACATCACGCTAAGATCAATACAAGCGGAGCACCAATAAATAATGTTTCAAAATCGAGATTTTTTCCCTTTTGAGAGCTTCCGCTGCGTGCAGAAACAGTTAAAGTATTTTTTAAATAATGTATGACAGGATTGTTCCACTTTAAAAGAATTAAAAAAATTCCGCGGTAGCATATGTCTATATGTTTAGGTTAGCTCACTATAAAAATTTTTTGTTCTAAAATAAAGCATTATTTGTGAACTATTCCACGCGAATGAAGTCGCGGGCAAAAGTTAGTAAGTAAATAAAATTCTCCATTCAAATCAGAACGCGTGGTTTCTTCGTAGCGGAAACAAGAAGAATATAATTGACGGTACAGAGCTGCACAGTTCTGCACGTCTCAAGCGTCGGACAAAACATACAACGGTGTTCAAGTCAGGAGCAGAGTGAGGTAGGAATGTGACGATATTGCGGATGATTGGTGAGGTACTCAGCCGGGTCTGTTTAACGTATCTTAAAAATAATAATCGCTGTACAGAATAATATGACGTAATATTCGCGGCCTTGGTTATTGATTATATTTTACTACACTCTTGTAAGTCTTGAGTTATTTTTTGCTTCTTATCTATAGACCATCTTGTATTATTTTTTGTTAACTAACCTTGTAGGTAGACAGATTGTGCACGGTGCAAGCAAGGATTGCTTCTCGGCCGAGCGGCGCTGTAACGTTTTCTATGGGGCCCGTGAAACCTGGTTCGTCTGAAAATATATCGATTTGTTAAAAAAAAATAAGTATTCATAATATAAAATTAAATCTTTCTAAAATGAAATCATATGATTTATGGTTATTTTATTCCTTTCCTCTTTGATTTCAAAACTAAGTCACAAAAAGTTATACGAAGGCAAAAGATTCATTAAGAACCTAATTATATTCATCATTCACATTCATCAACAACTAGCATAAAATACGTAACAGGAACGAATGATGGACCTAAAAGAATTGAAAGATAAGTAAAGAAGGATAGAAGTGAACGGCTGTCAGAAGTTTGTCTTTAGATAGAAAGTAGACCTCACTTGATCCAACGGCCCACTAATCTGGTAACCAATAGAGCCCTCGTACATAAACATTGACAACGTCAAAGCTACCGTCGACCTTGAGACATTACATAAAAAATAGAACTATAACAGTATTTGCATGTGTCTGGAGTCGAAAATTTCGGCTTAATACAATGACCCAAAAATTCAAAGCACTCGTGCTAGTAAAACACATGAACTTTAATAAAAATGTACCCATGTTGATTAAACGCTATTCACGTATTTCTCTGGGGCGTGCATTTTGATCACAAGCAACCTTTTCCCACAGGTTGCGTTTTTTTCAAAGTTTCGTCCGACCGTTTATCCCTTGGCTCTAGTTTATTGTGCAAGCAGTTACAAGTTTCCGTAAGTCGATTTTAGTACAAACAAAACTGTTTTAGCTTACTACTTACTAGATGTATTCTTTGGAATTATTAGAATTATAATAATATCAGTATTGGAATTAAAATAACTTAAAAACTCAAATGGTATAAAAAAGTTCAAGACCATTTACAATACGACAAAAACAAATCATTGCTTTATTCAAATTTAACGAAAATTCTTTAATAAGTTACACGAGAGCGAAAATACTTAGGATATTACACGCTGTCCAGTTTTCCAATTTTAATAGTTGAGCGTTTTAGATTCGACAGATATGAGACGTAAAATGTTAAACTTCTGCGAGCGTAATCTTTAATTAGTCGAAATGCACGAAAAGGACAGCGCTATTCTTTGCAACGAAATAGGACCGTTGAGTCAGACCAGACTTGGAGTCGTGTCCACTTCCAGCCTCCTAAGCGTGCCAGCAATTCCCCTTACTTAATTCAAAGTGATGGAAGGCCCAGTTCTGACTAACGCTAATTCTGACCAGTCATTCAATAGATATCTCAGGGTAGGTAGTACTATTAACGTTGTGATGTCTGTGAAATTCAAGAGTCATTTATCAGTTGAGCAGTTAGTTTATTTGCCCATCTAAAGCACAAAACAAGGGATATAAGTAGAGGCTCGAAATTATGGTTACTATCACGGTAAATTGATAGTGAAGCCCTATTTTTACCCGCATTACCTTACCGCTTCACTATTTTGGAATCACACTAAAAGAAAAAAGAAAACAATGTAGTGATCGTCTCTGAAATAAAACATAAATAAGTAATGTTCCTAATAACTTAGAGACGATACTCTCTTCGGCTTCCGCGAATCGTAGATATAATAAAAAGATTTAGTTTAAAACTTAACGGCTGTTCAAATTGCTATGTATTTCTGTAAACTTTAAATTATTTGTATTGAATCGATTCTACTGTATGACCATAATGTACAAAATCAATAGGGGTCGTCAATAACATGAGATATTGAAAAGATACCTAAAATAAAATAAAAAAGCTAGTAGAAATAGAAGTAGAAAGAAAGAACATCCTCAAAAAAAACATATAGTTGTTCCTGGACAAAACATTGAAATTATACTGGCTATCCACTTTAGTATTCGTGATTGTAGACGGCTACGGTCGTGAATTGAGTAGATCACTCTGACGTGTAACCTAGTAACGCTAGACAGAACCTTAAATACTTCCCAAGAAGGTTTTATTTTCATCTAAGTAAATATGCTATGATCAGCCTTTAAATACAATTATTATTAAAAACATTATATGTATTCATTTTATATACTAAACACGTAATAAAATTCCCGAAATTTGTTATAGAGCAATTTACCCTTTATTTACTGATCAAACTTCAACGGTTTTATGGATTGATTGTGAAAACAACCCTGTTTTGAGAATGGCTATTTAATTTAAAGCTAATAACTAACGGCCAGGTCATAACAACAACACAACATCAACAAATAACCAAAGATAATATTGTTGCAGACAAAATTTAAGCAATTACTTCACGGTGGAAATCTGTAAAAGGCCTCTTTTTGGAAGAAGGTATTACTGGCCCACCTGTCGGGCGAGCTCGGTTTCAGTCAGATGCTGAGATTTGCTAACAGCTGCTAGAGCGCCTCCTAAAGAAACCTAGCAACTCAAAGGCAGCTGCTTCGAGAATGTATCTACTACCGGATCGGAATCGCGACCCGCTGAGAAGATCCGGCGAGAAACTCAGCGGGCTGATGTAAAGGTTAAGTTTCACGTCGTATTCTTTGACGAGGTCGACGAGTACAGTACAGTTACCAGGGCCCATATGCCTGCTCCTAATGTTAGAACGTCTAGTGATAATGTTAATGGATCGAATTGAAAAAAAAGGACTCTTATAGATATTGCTATTATTCAATATAAATTCAAATAAACAATGTACAAATCTAAAATTAACACTCAATGTAAATTAATATTATAACGAACAAGTAGTAAATTAGTTTCAAATCTTTGTTAGGTTAAAACATTAAAATACCATTTCGGAGCGCTTTTCGTTAAGAATAAATTAGTTCAATGAAACAAGATTTTATACGTTTGTTCGCATCATTATGGTTCTTCCCGTTGTTTTTCCATGATTAATAATAAGCGCTGTTAACCACTTTTTCCAACCACAACCTGTTATCAAGCGTAATTCGATAAGGTGCTTAACTAAAGAACGTTAGTGTGTGAGTCGAGCTGAGCGTTAATGCCAAAATACCCTTTAATAAACCGTGTTTTTATTAAATTAGTTTGGTGGCACGCGACACACGAAACTCAAATATACATACAAATAAATTCAGGTCAAAATTGAGGTAAATTTGAAATAATACAGTTCGGTCACCCCTTTTAACGAACATCAACAAGACCTTTGATTGTAGGCGTAGCGGGAAATAATAATCCCGGCGGAATCAACCAAGTTAAATGAGACTACAACAAATTATTTATGCTCGGGTAACAGCGTTCGGTATATTTACTAAAGGCTTGTAACTCGAGATAAACTATTGCGATGCAAGTTTTAAAAACAAAATAACACAATTATCTTTCGTTATTATATATGCTCCTCCTTGCGTCGTTCTCCTCATTACCGAGGGTCGTGACTCCTCCGCTGCATCAATCTCTCTTATACGATTATTCTCCATCTGCTGCGATCCTTGGCCTCGTAGAGAGCATCATGGAGCTTAACAGACAAAACCGAATTTGGTCCGACCATCTCGTGGGACTACGTCCTCTGGGACGTTTGCCGTCTACCTTGCCCGTCACCATCAGTTGCTTAAAATTGTAACCCTCATTTCAAACTATGTGTCTAAAGAACTCCAATACTCTACGAATCCCTATTGCGAAGAATCTAGTTTTAACGTTAAGCTCCTTTAGTACTGACACACTGTTGCAAAAGGTAGTCCATGGAATCTGCAGGAATTTCCTCCAGCACCGCATTTCGAAGTCACCTATGCGGTCTCCGTCGGCCTTTTTCAGTGTCCAGATCTCCGCTCCGTAGCTGTTTGCTGAGTTTTGTTTTCCGCAAGAAGATTCGGTCTCGGAACTCTCAATGCAGTTGAGACATTGCATTTTTGGCCATCCCTATACATCTTATCTTTTTTTCACATGACCCTGAGTTATTCATGCTAGCCCCTAGGTAGATGAAGTCGGTCACGCTTTCAAGGCTCAACGTTCCCGTTAGTTCAAGACTCTTGGCACGATCCACTATCATGACTTTGATTTTGCTATGGTTGATTTTGAGACCCAACTGCAAACTGATGTTGTCAATCCGGGCAAGGAGGTTCACCATCTCGGTTTCACTGGCAGCGAGGAACGTGGTGTCATCTGCATAGCGCAGGTTTGTTATTTTAGTACCCCCTATTGTGATTCCACCCTCGCAATCCTCACATGCCCGTCGGATTATGTATTCTCCATAGGCGTTAAAGAGAATTGGAGAGAGGATGCAGCCCTGTCTTAACCCTCTACTTAAATGGCTCAGATGTGCAGCTTTCGACTTTCACCATGCCCAGATATAGAGAGCGAATGAGGGCAACAAGGTGCTTAGGCACCCCCAGCTCGTCAAGTATCCTCCATAGATCCGACCAAACCACACAGTCAAAAGCCTTACTGTAATCGATAAAAAAGAAAAAGGTAGGTGTGTTAAACTCGTAGGCCTTCTCGACCAGCTGGCGGATGTTGAGAATTTTCTCGCGAGTTCCCTTGCCCCTCACAAAACCCACATGCTCCTGCGGAATTTGCTAGTTCAGAAAGTTATTATATATAACTTATTGCAATAGCACGTCAACGGTGTCTAGTACCTGGACCAAAAGATACGTACCTCATTAAAAACTTAACAGTATGTTTCTCAGTTATTGGACTTGAATGTGCAAAAAAATTTCACTTTATTTAAATGAATGATTTATCATCATACATTTTCAACAAAAAAAAAAAAAATCTTTATTTGTTTGTTACAGTTGTTATTGGCACGTCTGGGGATGACAAAGTACCATCAACTTAATATAAGAGCTGCACGAGTATTTTTTAACAAATACAACATATTTAACAAATAACTGTGATTTGTGTAATATTTGAAGTTAAGCGCAACGTAATGCGTCTGTGAAAGTTCGTAATGTTATTGAGATGTATTTTTTATTTATGTTCCACTATAAATTCCATTGGCAATCTGCAAAAAAAAACATAACAAATTTTAGAAAAACCGTATAAACCGGATTTTGTGACATGACATCAAAATAACGCTGTTTATGGTCTAACCGGTCTAACGGATAACTTAGCCTGTGTACGTAGGTACTAATTTTCTTTCTACGTAAATCTATATCTAAGTGTTCACGAATAACTTCCTGAATGAAAGAAATATCGTGTACTTTAGTCAGACTACTAATATTTAGAAATTTTCGTAATAAGTACTGATTACCATCTTGCCTATTTCTATCGTGATGCGTTCACTCTTTCCGTTTTGAGGGATAGAACAGCCGTTAAATGCAATAAAATTTTGAATTCAACCTCAAATCTCAAGATGGGTTGTTGGACTTTCTCGTTTACCATGGGCTCCGAGCCACTTAATAGTTCGGAATCAAGAATCACTGTGGTGAGTGTGAGCTAATCCACAATAACTCCTAAAAAAGAAACGTTTTAATGAATTATTTAGCAAAACGAGTATTACAATGTAATTAATCTACGTTCAGAAGCGGACGCTCTGTGCCTGACATAATGAAAGTAATGGTACAAACCTAAAGCACATCGACACATTCAGCATAAAACAAAAATAAATTGGTATAAATTTTGTCGATATCCTTGTTCGTGAAACGAAAAAGAAAATGTTTGTCATTCTAACTTCGTATAAAAGTATTGAACATAATAAAAATCTTATCTATGTAGTCCATAAAGTGTCGGCAGTATCGAAACTTGATAAATTGCTAAATAAACGCCACAATAATGGAAAGGAGGTATATTGTAAAACTAGGCTTGTTGAACTTCCGACACTGTCACTGACAAATTATGAACGCACCCTGGCGTTTCCCCTACCTTACTAATTGACTGCACGTCAATTTTAGCCTCGCTATATAATTCAACTACAAGGTAAACTATTTTGAAAGTTTAACATATTTTAACGATCCGTTATATATATATAAATCTGATTTATTTATTGAGAACGATCTAATAATTCTAGAAAGTACAAAAAATATTAAGTCTATAATTTTTGGGCTTTTTTCAGTAGTATTCATTTAATTAAAATAACATTTAATAATCACAAAGACCGCATTATAGTTCGACCCTCGCAAACTGATATTTACGGAAGCTATCCTCTTCGATATCGCGAAGGCGTTCGACAAAGTTTGGCACAAGGATTTGAGTTTTAAGCTGTGCAACATGAGCGTGCAGGACAGTCTCGTGCTCAGCCTATGAGACTTCTTATCGAACCGCTCGTTTCGGTACCAGGCTGGAGAAACTCGTTTATCACCCACCTAATCATAGCTAGTCTTGCATAATCATAGCTCTATTCTTACCCCGCTACTGTTTGATCTGTCCATCAATAGTGCCCCCGGTCACCGCCGATCCAGTTAACCCTCCTCGTCGATGACTGTTCACTACTTCTCTAGGAGGAATATGTAATTATTTGCGAAAAAGCTTCAGATCACAACCGGAACCCTAGGACCGGTTCCGGAAAATCATGAAAACCATCATCATAAGCCACGAACATCATCGAGAAATAAGAAACAACTTTTTCTGAGTATTACACTAGGGTACTGCGTTCGCAAGGGGCATACTGGTGGTAGGACGTAATGTGTTCATATAGATGAGTGCCACCATCTTGCCTATTTCTTCAATATAGAAATAGTAATGCGCTCCATACAGCCTCTGTACAATACAATTGAGACTTCAACCTGATGTCTTAGGGTGGGTGGCGGCATTTACGTTATGATATCTGTAAGCTTTGGTAACCACTTAGCACCGGGGCCGCAAGCTAAAAGTTCAGCGTTGGAACGCTACAACTCGACACGATAACCCTCTTATAATGGCCGCCATCAGCTAAAACTTTGGCTCACGTACTAGAGATGTCCTGAAAGATCCACCTGGTCCACTTTCAGTTCTTCCCAGCATGTCGACGCTACTGCCTTCAAGCTGTTAAGCTTCCTTCGGAGACAATGGAGCACCTGTTGGGTAATCCCACACCTTCTGACTGACCCGTGCTAGCCTACCTACCCTGGTAAAACTGGAACGGCATTTAAGCCCCTAGAAATCCTTCCATGCAAAATCATCATCTTTTCTGAACAAATCAGTACTGACACGAATTCCACGAGATACAATTGCGGGGCATGCTACAAATCCGCGCGGCCTAAAGTCATCTACTGCAACCACGGGATCCCTGTCAGATTCAATATTTTTATCGAACCTATTTAATGTATAAAAGCATAGTATAGGGTGTATAAATATATAAAAATATATTATATGCTGTTTAATCTTTAGATTTTTAGTGAAAATTTCGATATCGTGTGAGTCCGCGTCATTCGAGTTTTACGTCCAACGCCTACAGCTTCGATGACCGTTTGATAATAAATGGGCCGTGACACAATTTCGTTAGTATTAAAATGTACGAATCTTTTAAAGAACTAATTAAGTCGATTGACTCAAATTGTGCCGGCTTCCAGCTAGACAACAATGTGTATCATTCTCACCAATTAGCTATCTATATAAAGACAAGACAACAGATTTAATCAGGTTCAATGTCGTTACGTGTTACGGTTTAGACGGGACGATTAGACAAGCAGAATAATAAGCTGCGTAGTACTTACGTATCTCTGTTCTCTCTCTAGTTCGCGTTATTTGCATTGTGAGGAGGGTGTAACAGATCGGCTAATGAGGTCGGATAAAAACTCGGAAACTTTGTAAGGTTGTGTTGAATTGTTGTTGTTTTAACTTTGCTGCAACTTTGGGTGAATTGAGATAGTGCGAGCATGTTTATGAGTATATAAACAAACAAATTATGTACTTAACTATAATACATGTAACATTTTAATAGAATAATTTATAGAGTAACCAGAATTGTTTCAGAAAGTGATTTTGAAAAATGTTTAAAAAATATTTTTTGTGCAAAATCGTTCAATAATATTGGTTTTTACTATTTAACATATCAAACCTCAAAGCTAACTGATATATTGAGTTAAAAGTACATAGCTCAGACAGTTATTTTATAACATTTTAATAGTGCTGTGATGCGTTAAAAAATGTTCATAACTATGAAACTTGACGTAATAGCTACTTTTTTTTAATATCTACTTAGCTTAACGATTGAAAACTACAACTTAAAATTTAAAAAATACTAAATTTCATTTTATACATTAAATTTCATATATAATATTTGTAATAATGAGAATTAATTTTTGACTGCTTTAAATTAGCAAACGGGCTCCACTCCGGTAACCGTCCTCGTCGAACCCGTCGTTTGCGACGAAGGGCTCGACGAGTAAATAAACTCATAGACACAGCCTACGGAGTTTTTCCCAAGATCTTCTCAGTGAGTCGCATTTCCGATCCGGTGGTAGATTCTGCGAAGCACTGCTCTTGCTAGGGCCAGTGTTAGCAACACTCCCGATTTGAACCCTACACGTCAAGGAGAAGCTGAAATAGCCTCTCGAGGCTATCAGCATAAGTAGGGGAAAAAAAAGAGCTCCACTGTACGCCTGGTTAAGTGGTCAACAGCGCACAATGTTGTGATCTATCTTAAGGTCAGAGTATCACATTTTGCTATTATTTCATAACTGTCTACACACTCTTCAAATCGACACGGATAACTGTTTCTCGACACAAATAGGCAGTATTGTGGGCTCTACCTGTACGGGGTCAAAATACGCCCTACCATTTTTTTATAGCCCGTGTAGGCAGACGAGCATACGGCCCCCTGGTGGTGGATGATTACCGTCGCCCATGGACTTCAGCAATGCCAAGCCTCTGCCTACCATTAAGCGCTGCCTACCAGTGATTAAATTTCAACTTACTTGTATTTGTACTATCTTTTATTGTATTAAATATTATATTTTAGGTATCAGATTGTCCGAATGGCACCTACAATTTGATTTTTGGGATAATTAAAATATAGACTTACATAAATGAAATATATTTATATTTCGCTAACATTAGTCAAAGAATTTATAATAATAAGATTCGAAAGATTAGCTTTGTTTTTATTTACAAATTATGAAATTAAGATTTAAAAATGGATTAAAAAGTTCAGTACTTACGCAGCGTGGCATCGGTCGTTGTTGTCAAAAACCAATCGAGCACGAGCAAAGCTAGTATAACTTTTCCGCTAGCTGCCAACGTGAATTGATTTAAGTTACCCATGACATGAAAAATATTAAAATTCATACTTGAATATTTTTTGTTGTGTTCTCGCGTTAAGCAGAAAAAACTAGAGAAGCATTATTATCGAAACCAAAAAGATATTTTTCGTAAAATTAATATCACGAATTAATAAAATTCAAAAAAATAATAACTCATTTAACACAGTTCCGTTAGAGTCGTAAAGAAAAGATTATAATACAATTTTCACACACGAAAATATAGAGTACGCTCTCGATCGATGTCAAAAATAACAATAATATTCGAGATTACGAGAAAAGTTTTTGTCGTAGTCAAAATGTAAGAGCCGGTACACAACCGCCGTCCTCGACGGTCACAAGATAACTGATGCAGGGCGTTTGCACCATTGCCCTCTGAAAGCACCACCCCTAACTATATTGCCGTCCTTTTCGTAAAAGGTAGGCATACGAACAGTTCACAAAACAGCCTTCGTTTTATGCTTCTTATTTTGATATACTCGTTTAATTTTTATATATTAGATATGGTGAATATATAACGCCTCATTTGATCAAAACAAAGATATTATTATTATTCAAAAGAATATAGGTAAAAAATTTCAATATTAGCTACCTTTTGAAACAAACTTAACAGTGTACAGATACAACAACCCTTTAAACAATACAATTTTGTACAATTCTCAGTTTATTACGTGTGAAAATTATATTAATATTTCTTCATTTTAAACCTAATTCCGGAGCCAAGGCCGGTACAATAAACTGTAACAGAATACTGAAACTAAAGGATTCTCCTCTAACTAGTAACATAATAACTATTAACAATTTAGCAGAAATTGTTCGAAACGATCTTCGAAGGTTTCAACTTTCGTTTGGTTACTTGTGAAATTCGAGAAATGACTTCCTTAGTTGTGCTTGGTGTTATTGTATTCATATCACGCGGTAACCGCACTGCCACGCCGGAGGGAAACCCCACGAATGCCCCAACATTGAAAATTGATTTTTAATGAACAGGTTTTTAAATGGGGAATATGCATTAGAATTACTTCAATTATGTCGTTTTAGACTTTAATAACATTTATTTCAATCGCCTCATCCCGTTAGAAGTTAGGTTAAACAATTCGCTAACTATTTTCATTAATACCATTCTAAAACATTGTATTTCTGAGTAAAGGGTTGAAGAAAAATAATTGAAACCTTCAAATTTATAAATCTGGTACACCGAAATTGCAGAGAATACTTAATTCAAAAAGTAACTAAACCACGTAAACATTTTTTAAGTTGTTCTCTTTCAGTAAATCTCATAACAAATCTACAAGTTTACCATCGCTCTGTAGCCTTCCGTTCTTTCAATTAATGTATTTATGTATGTTGTTTTACTGGTGGTAGGACCACTTGTGAGTCCGCGCGGGTAGGTACCACCGCTCTACCTATTTCTGCCGTGAAGCAGTAATGCGTTTCGGTTTGAAGTGTGGGGCAGCCGTTATAACTATACTGAGACTTTAGAACTTGTATCTCAAGGTGGGTGGCGCGTCTACGTCGTAGATATCTATGGGCTCAAGTAAACACTTAACACCAGGTGGGCTGTGAGCTCGTCCACCCATCTAAGCATTAAAAATTTTTTTTTTAATTCATTAACAGTAACAAGAAAACACTATAACTCCTCCATTGCAGTTAGTTGGTGATGCAATTATCTGCAACAAAATACACATAGTCAAAAACCTTGACAATTTTTTTTCAAAAAACTCAACATAACTACTAACCACACAAAACATTACTTTTATTTCTTTAAATGCTTCCACGTAAATTCCAACGTACTTATAATTTATTTTACTTCCAGGTAACTAATGTCCGTCTAGGCGGCGCCATAGATTGAGTTCTGCGAATAGAGGGGCCTTTCCTTGCAACTCCCCTAGGCCACCCTACCCTTAGACCACTATTAATATTTATACTCGCATACGTCAGTACTTCACCTTTGCCGTTGCACATCGATATTCTTCAAGCGCAAGTCAGCATAAAGAGGAAACCTTTTGCTGAAATTTATCCAAACTAAAATGTATTGTTGTATCTTCATTCATTAAATTTTTCTTACTACAACAAACTTCGCAGATCGCTAATGAATGACCTTAGTAACTATGATTATAATATTTAAGTACCGACTTATACTAATGTCTAAACAACGGTCCATTTTGATCAGACGATAATTACTAAAAACCTAATATATTATCATTATCTAATAGACATATCTACGCTAATGTACAACGCAGGATAATTTCAAAATGACAAGGGGCAAAATATTATCTTACGTCTCATATCGAAACGCATAATTTACTTGTGGAAAAGTAGCATCGATATATTACCACATATTACCGTTGTAACTATATTTGAGACCTTAGAACTTATATCTCAAGGTGGGTGGCGCATTTACGTTGTGGATGTCTATGGGCTCCAGTAACCACTTAACACCAGGTGGGCTGTGATCTCGTTCACCGAACTAAGCAATAAAAAAAAATACATATCGATGAAAAGTAGGGAAAACTGTGGCGATATTAGCACCACACAACCGGCGCAGTAATGTTTAATAATATGCAAGCAAACTTCCTCTTTTAATAACACTTTTAAGGCTATTTGATTAAAATTAATCATTTAAAAAATACAAATAATACTATAATACAAAAAATTATAATTGTAGTTAATACAAATGCGAGTTATAATAACTTTGCTGAGCTTCAAAAAATAAATTGATAAAATCGCGATTCATTTGCTGTTACCATTGCATTACTTAATTGGATTAACCCATAATTGTAATTGAATATTCCTATAATTAGCGTTTATTAATAAAGGTACTTTTATTTAATAGCATATCGTGAAATTTAAAATTAAACTGGTTATGAATACTTTTCCAATTCCTGTAAAGCACAAAGTACTTCTTTGACAAAAGAAAACGTATAGTGACTCATGGAATAGAATTTTAATATGAATATGAAAGAAGTCGTACAAATGTCACAGCTCAGTCATAAGTCATAACAGTTCAAGATTCTAAGCAGACGTAGAGCCTTTTAAATGTTCTTAATGGATTACATTGAAATATACTTTTACCTACTAATCACATTTTCGCTCTAATAGCGTTTTGTACTACGGGTAGAGTAGGTAGTAGGTACAAGAGCTCACGGTCCGTCTGATGTTGAGCAGTTACCTGACTTCTACAGACAAAAACGTGATTCTCTGTGATATTTGTGATTAAAGTCTAAATAGGACAAACAAGATGAAGCTCCAACCTTGTCCAGCTTTCAAAATGTAGAGACCATGAGGTCTCACAATAAAAATTACAAGAATACATAATTACAATTACTCTTACGGTTTGGTTTCCCTTTTTTTTACATTATTTTATTTCCGATATTTCGAATACTTTATTTGCGTTAGCGTGGTATGTGATGCGTAGAGAGAAGATGCATGTGACTAGGAGATGTATGGAAATGGTAGTGCAAGGTAGAGGGGGAAGAGGTTGACCGAAGAAGACATGGATGGAGTGTGTGAATGACGATATGAAAGAGAGAGAGGAGTGAGTGTTGAGATTACGGCTGTTAAAAGAGAACGGAAGAGAAAAATTAGCTGTGCCGACCCCACCTAGTAGGATAAGGTGGAGAAAAAGAAGAAGAAGATTTCGAATACTTTATTTAAAGTTTTCGTGGTCACAGACGAATAAGGTATTTTATTCATCCATTTATTTTCACTTATGACTAGACTTGACTTGAGTCAGATAATTAATGGGTCCTCGCTGCGAAAATAGTACCGGACTTGTCGCTTCCGACCGTCGTGGCTACGATGCTCGGCTGCGACGAGTCCTGGCAGGCGATGCTCGACTTCTGCGAGTCCACCATCTCGCGCGCTTTTATCCTAGGCAGACTGTACCCCATGATCTGTAAGCGAAGTAAAATGTCCCTTCGGAATAAGGTGACACTTTACAAAATTTGCATAAGGCCCGTCATGACTTACGCGAGTGTGGTATTCGCTCATGCGGCCCGCACACACATAGAGACCCTCTAATCCCGCTTTTGCAGGTTAGCCGTCGGAGCTCCGTGGTTCGTAAGGAAAATTGACCTACACGGCGACCTGGGCCTCGGCCTCGAATCAATTCGGAAACACATAAAGTCAGCATCGGGACGGTAGTACTTCGATAAAGCTATGCGTCGTGTTATCATTGCCGCCGCTGACTACTCCCCGAATCCTGATCACGTAGGAGCCAGTCACCGTCGCCGCCCTTGAGGTGCTTGAGGTACATAAAAGCACCGTTAATGGATCGGGAGGATCCGTAATGACGTGTTAGCGTGTCCATTTCTGTTGTGAAGCAATCATATATTCGGATCTGAAGTGACAGATGTAATCTTTTAAGAGAATTCGACCTCATAGCTCAAGGTGAATAGTATTTACGTCGTGATAGGCTGTGTATTACGGTTAAAGATTAAATTAAAAACGCCGGGAAGTGATAACAAGCTAAAGAAACTGAATTCGTATACCCATATTTTCTTATTAACTATTGGCAAGAAAGAATATCTAACCTCTGTTGAATGCAAGTAAATTCAATTAAACCATGTTAAATTGTCAGAGTGTAGCTTCGCGACAGAGATATAGAAGTCCCGGCGCGGGGCTGCGAATATGTGACATATTGCTCGAATATGCTGCGTTCTCAAATCTGTCAAGCGTTATTAAACTATGACATGTGTGATTTATGTACCTAACGTTTGATCATTTTGTCGATGCGACCCAGAAAGCAGATGGATGATACGTAGTTAAATAAATAATTAAATTGTAATTTTTTTAGTTATTATATACCTCGTAATTGTGAAAATATATATCTAGTTGCTAAGATGTTTCGTTAACAAAACCGCGACCCGCATTATATTTGGAACAAAAACAAAATTTCAACTTTAATAATTTTTTACTAGGTGACCCGACAGACTTCGTAGTGCCTCAATCGATAAATAAAAGACCTAAACTTTTGTATAAAATCAACTTAAAACAAACAAAAGGAATCCGTCCGACGGGGGACACATCAAAGGAAAAACAATATTGTTATTTTCATTTAATTCCGAGTATTTTCAAATTTATTTACCTTTTAAACCTTCTCTGGACTTCCACACATAATTCAAGACCAAAATTAGCCAAATCGGTCCAGCCATTCTTGAGTTTTAGCGAAATTAACGAACAGCAATTCATTTTTAGATTGCCCCTGTTAGCAGACGAGCATACGGCCCACCTAATGATGAGTGGTTACCGTCGCTCATGGACGTCAGCAACGCGAGGGGCAGAGACAATCAGCTGCCTACCGTAAAAAAAATATTTCTTAAA